CCTTCCTATTGTAAGATTTGTAAGACTCATCAATGAAATTTTTCCTAAGCTCAGTGCTTAGTTGATCATGTTCTAAAAGGAAAGTTAGGATTTGTCAGCAATTGGCCTCCAGAAAAGATAACTTGGCCTCCAGCTTGGCAAGTAGAGTTGATCTCCTACCTGGGGAAGACCCTGGTGTCTAAGAAATAATGGCTTTGGGTTTTGGAGTAATAAACCCTGAAATGGAGAGGAAAATCCCCCACAAGTCCCTTTGTCTACACGGGAGCATGCACAATAATTTCCCTGCTTATGGAGTTCTTAGCCATGATTATTTTCAACCAAAATCTAATAGGCATTGCCACCCGTCTTCAGGCACTTAGGCTGTAAAAAACATATACTAATACTTTAGTAATTGTTTTTTTCTTTCTTTCTTTCTTTTAGAGGTGAACATTTCTCTTGGCTGGTTTTGTGGTATATTGGTTCTTCGTCCTTAAAATTCAAAGCATTCTCTAGGATATGTTTGGACATAAAGTCCTTTCCATTTGCTTTCCAGATACTCAGGAGGTAGCCCCAATAGGAGGACTGAAGTCTTTCTACATCTCAGAGGAGGTGTTTTTCCTTTCTAATACTTTAACTTTGTCCATAGGCTCAGTTCTTGCCTGTTAAAGTTCTTGTTACATATATTAAATCTCCTAATCTTTAAAAAAATTTTATTGTGATAAATATGCACAACCTAAAATCAACCTCTTAGCCATTCTTAAATATATAGTTCAGTGGTGTGTCTCAGAGCGAAGGGCAATGCTGTTAAAGTCATGAAATTCTGCAAAGGACAAATCAGGGAGTGAGATACCAAGCTGGACTGTGTGCTTTGTGTGTGCAATTGGACTTTATTCCAGAGCTAACCTAGTTATCTTTCTGGACCTTCCTGAACTTGAGATTTTGTGGTGCTGAAAGATGGTACCGAGATTTGAAGAAGGTAAGTGTGGTCTTTGATGAGTTTTCTCCTCTTGACATGTAAGATGATGCTATCCTGAGAACAAAAGGGAAACTCTTTTGACTCTTTTGACTTAGGGATGGGCAGAAAGATCCTTGTCCAAAATCTCTTGTCAGGCAGCCAATGGTCACATCTTTGTAACCATGCACTGCCCTCTGTGAGATTTATGGCCCAGATTAGCAATGAAGAGCAGGAATCATTCATTGCCAATGACATAAAATACTAGGACAAACTTCAAAGAAAACAAACCACACTCTCCAGCCTCTTCTTACCCCCGTTCAGAACTATCTTCCTTCTGTGTTGCCTCCATGGCCCTGTCTTTTTCCCAAGAACTGTCCCTGCTTGCTCAGAACTCTGGAGCAAGGCAACCCCCACCTGCTCCCAATGGGTGGTTCCCAGAGCCAGGCCCTTTTTTCCTGCTGGTTCTTCTGATTCCCTTGGTTTCTGAGACCTGCAGGAGCCCTTTGGCATGCTGAGCATTACCCAAGCAGACCTGCCATCCCTGGGCCCCTTTACCATAGAGCTCTCATTACCAACTATTACACAATTCTCTAGTCACCCCTCTCGCAGGGAAAGTTTCCTTCTTGCTAGCAGTCCTAATAGATGTGACAGTGCTTGGCAGATGCTTTATGTTATAAGAGGAAAGTGGGCAAAATCTACCTAATCAAAGCTATAGCAGCTTCACAAATGTTCATCTCACTAACCTCACACCCAAAAGCTGCAACTGAGAGTAGATGGCTTCCAAAAGGCTGAATCTTAACCCAAGAATCAGTTTTAATGGCAGCTTCGTGGAGGAAGATTTGGGGAGGCAGGAGGGATTTGCTAGCTCCTCCTGAATCACTCCACCCAAAGCCCATTTCACCTATAAGTGAAACTGTCTCTTTCTTCCTAATTCATATGAAGTGGAGGAGGCAGGCCAGGGGACTCAATGACATTTTTACAGGCAAATTAAGAAATACACAAAAGCTGAGTAAAGTCTCTTTTAATGGGTGCCAGAAGCAACCTATCTTTCTGGGCCTCAAAAACTATTATCCTTGGGTTCAAAATCTGGTAGATAGTGACCATGAGCCACTAAGAGTTATGAGGCTCAGAGAAATGCCTTTTTCTTACTAAAGAAAATATATGCTTATATTATTTTTGAATTTTCTTGAAAGTTACATCGAATCACTGTAGAAACAAAAGAGATAAGTTAGAATTGAATCAAGATGAGGTAAGTATTCACAAAATATAGGAATAACAGGAAAAATATGTTAAAATTTGTAAATCTCCCTTTGTGGTCTCTCAGTGGTTCTCAACCTTCTCAGACCCAATGCCTTGATTTGGCTCACAAATATTTGATAAGGCTTTTTACCATTCTAAAACAAAATTCATAAAAAATTTTATCATTATAAAATGAAATTTATATCCTTCTTACACTAATAATGTAAACATATGTATAATGTTCTAATTGTAATATAGGTGAGTAATGAAAGGAAAAGTTAATTGTAGTAAAATAATATGCATTTTCAGTGTGTAAACACTCAGACATGATCACAAAAAAAGGACAAAAAGAGATAATCTGATGTGGCATCTTTATTCACTATCTCCCTAAATACTAATATTGCTTACGGGTGTGTTGTGTCCTATTTTAATGCCATAGATGGTGTTGCTATAAATCATTAATGATTTTTCAAAGTCATTAACAACTCTTGGTAAAGTTCTAAGGAAATAAAATAAAATCTTCCTTTAATATCCATGATAGCTACATTTCCAGAAAATTGAAACCATACCCAAGATACCATGTGTTTATGAATACTGAATAAAACCCAATAACTGCTCTCATTATTCTGAGTGTGTTTCACTTTATGAATGTCCAGCACAACATTCAAATATGAATCAAGACCTGATAATTCTTTATTGTACAGAGAGTTGTGTGCAAGACAAGATGTCTAGTCCCTGCACCCCCCGGAAATATTTATATTACTCTCTTGTAATGGTGATATCCAACAATGGCTCTGAAGGCCAATATCATCTGCACTCCCATGGGAGATTCATTTCAATAGCAATTAAAGATAGAAAATAGGCCAATTATTTTTTTTATTTATTCTATCAATACTGATGAATAAGATATGTTGTAGAATATCGTATTTCTATATTTTGAGTAATATTTCTTACAGGTCTACAGAAATAGGCCCTTTATTATAATATATTCATACAGAGAAAACCAGAATTGCCTGACTTCAACATATCTAAAATCGGGGAGAGAAAATAATACAATCTACAAGATAAAATGATGATAGCGACAATATTAACATAAGAAAAAAAGCCTAATGAAATCCCCACAAATAACTTTTTAAATTTAAATATTTTTCTATGTTTCTTTATTTTCTTATGTATTTTACAGGTGTTACAAATTTTCTCAAAACTTTTATGGGTCATAGTAGTTGTCTTACAAATTTTATGAGTCAACGTGAGAAAGAAAAAAAACTAAGAAAATAAATGGGAACAAAAGACAAATAAGAAATAAAATAAATAAAACTTTTTGAAAATGGAAAGATAAAAGAAAATTTATAACAGGAAAAAATTTGAAACAAGTCATGTTTGAACTATATTGATACTTTTTCTTCCTCAGATTTAATTTCTCTTACTCTTAGAAACTCACACAGGTTTTTCTTATTCATCTGATAAACTGTGGATTTATTGAGTGATAACAAATTAAGAAAGACCTTTAAATCTGGAAGATTTACCTTGATGAAAAAGAAAAAGTTCCCTTAATTCATTCAGTTCTTCTTGTCATATCATTAATTACTTCAGGTTTTCTGAAGCATTAAATACAAAACTGGATCGGTTCCTGGGAAAGTTTTGAGAGTATGAAATACTGAGGGAAAAAGAAAAATGGGGAGGAGGAAAAAACCCAAAAAGCAAAAACCCAAAAAGCAAAAACCTGTGTATCAACCTAGCCAGTAATAGAGGTTCTTGAAATAAAATCAATTTAACATGCACATGTCACAAGCTATGAATCAAATTTTGCAAAAATTTACTCCAAATTTGATAAGAAAACCAAATTATGTAATGTTTTAAAGAATTATAATTTTATTACTTTCAAGTATGTTTATTCATACATTCCTCAAATATTCAGAAAACCTTCTTCATGCAGCCTAATCTCACAGGGTCTCAATTAATGGAGTTTTTAATATATTTCCCCAAAGTCCTTTTTTATTTAGTTTTCATTTATTTAAAAACACATAACTTTAGGGGAGTAAGGGAACTCTAAAGATTTCAGTATTACTTTCTTTTCTCAAAGAAAATCTAAATCAACTGTGGCCTAGGACTTTTAGAAATTCTCTCAAAAATCAGAAAAGGAAAAAAAATTAATCACTTCCCTTGGGAATTCATTTTAATGCCTGGTAGTATATTAGGCAAGAATATTCTCTAAGTTATATTTTTACCATTACTTATATGTGTTCTGTAAACTTGGGAATGATTTTGGGGGCAATAGTGCAGTTAGTGATATTGAGGAAGTTGAGTCCCAGGTCCTTAAACCTGACCTGTCAAAGGACAAATCTAGAAAATCTTGTTTTAGCAGAAGGCCATGAGTTCTTTTTGCTTGATTCTTAGATAATTGACTTCCCTTCAGAGCTATGATAATCTAGAAAAATTTCTTACCATTCTCTTATTTGTTTTTGTCAGGGTGTGAGATGAATGGGACATCTTATCTCGTTAGCCAAGTAGAGTTTGTGCCTTTGGAGCTAAATTGTGACCGGGATCAACCTTCCTAAGGTGAAGTAGAGTGAAAAGAGTTGCATCCAATCCAAAGCCTAAAAAAAGGCCATGTTTCCAATGGAGGAAATTAGAATGAGGTAATGAAACTCTAAAACTCTTTAGATCCATGTTGCCTGAATGGGCCAAGCAGAACATTCTGTATTGGAAAATAGTGCAGAATTGAGACTCCAGGTGGATTCAACATTCCTGGTCTTTGTATAGGCATCATTCAGAGACCATAGGAATGAAACAAGGACCAGGATGAGTGCGCTCTGACGTTGTATAGTCCTCTGTTTGGCTAGATCAAGGCACGGTTTTGCATCATGTAATGCAATACCATTCTTACGTTCCCTGTGCCCATTTTTACTCCAAATATAAAGGAAGTAATTATGAATACCGTAGTCTGTGGCTAACGGCACAAAATGCGATTCCATAGGTCAATTATCTTTTGCTTAAACCAACGGCTTCCCCCAAAAACAAACAGCAGCAAGTCACAACAGCTGATTGCTGTTACACTCAAGAGGATTTCATTATAAAACACAACATTGCTTTCACAGTCATTGGCATGGCCCACAACTTTTAAGTAGTAGATCCTAAAGAACTGGTAGGGGAGGAAACAAAAAACGATGATCCCTATAAAAAATAGGTTTTTCAGTTGAGCCCAGAACTCCTGGTGGGATAGTAAGGAGTGGCCTAGCTTCCGCACCATCGACAAGATGATGAAGAGCTGGAAGACCAAGAGAATCACCGCAATGGCTATGACAATCACGACTATCATATAGTTGATGACTTGCACGGACACGTAAGAAAGTTCTTTGTGGAATTTAAAACAGTGATGCTCATTGTACTTCTCCTGAGCTCCATACTGGGAAACGACCAGGGGTACCACAATGACGATCACCAGCACCCACATGGCAGTGCTGGCAGCCACAGCATGCAGCTTTCTGTAGAATTCCACTTTGTCCTTGCACTTGAAGAAGATGAGGTACCTGGTGACCAGGATCACCACGTAGAACAGGAAGGTGAGGTACATGTGGATGTGCAGCATGGAGCTCACGAACTTGCAGAAGGGCAGCCCGAACGTCCAAGTCTCCTTGATGAGGTAGGTCAAGCGGAAAGGCACCGTCAGCAGAAAAACACTGTGGACCACCACCAAGTTAACGACTGCCGTGGTGGTCACAGAGCGGGTGTTCATTTTCACCAGCAGGAACAGAATGGAGATGACACCCATTAGCCCTCCGATGAGCACTACGAAGTAGAGCCGGGTTAAGTGGGGCATCATTGTAGAATTGCAAGAGGAATTCCTGGAGATGTTGTGGCCAGCCATACTTCCCAAGTCTCCTGGAAGAGACAAAGCATCAGGGTAACTGACAAACTCCCAGAGCTTTCTTCATATCTCCTTTATAGCACTGACAAAGTGACTTTGTAGTGTACCTGTTTACATGACGTAAACTTTGTGTGCTTCAAGAGTGAAGATTATGTCATATGCATGTTTGTATGCACTAGACCTAAAACACCATAAGCCATTGATTTGTAATCTTTAATAGGAATAAAAATGTAATTGTAATCTTTAAGATGCCCCCGGAGACAAGTATATATGTATGTAGACAAAACAATTTGCATAAAACTTCAGGAGGGTTGCAGACCACCTGGAGCTGATACATTGATACTAGTACCACAGTAACCCCTGAGAAAAATTGTAAGATGAATGGAAGGGTGAGTGGATGCATGAAGTACACAGCATATTTCTTTTTCTTTTAGGCATGATTCTAATTCTCTAATTCCTTCTAACTCATTAGCAAATGACCCAAGAGTAAATACTCATTTAAGATACTGATTAATTTGACAAAATATCAACTAAGTCAGACAGGCAGCAGCAAGCAATAGGAAGCTTTACCTGTATTTCTCATTACAGTCAGATGATCATCTAACAGGGAGCCCTCAATTAAATTTTTCCCACTGGGCCCCACCGAAAATGTAGCATGTCTCCTAATTCTCCCATCCCCTGCCCTCAAATGCCTTGCAAATTCATAAAAGAGACACTGTCATTTCTCCTCTGGACTCCTGAAAGATCCCCCTCCTTAAATACTCTCAGTGCTTTCTAATTCATTGTTCATATTCTAATTCATCACTTTCTATAAAAGATTTAGTAATCTTTTAATTTCACTAAGCAAGTCATGTCACATTCCTTATTTAAATCCCTTCCAATGGTTTTTCATCTCTTTTAAGATAAAGATTAATATCCTTACATGCCTACAGTGTACTGGGTTACAGTGGCAAGGTCTGATCCCTTGAGACCTGATTAATCCAGAGATGAAATCGGCAGGCTTTGATGGATTGGATATGGGGACATGAGGGAAAGGGAAGTATCTTGATCACTTCAGATTTCTGACATGAACAATTATGTTACTAGAGGTGTCTTTACTGACACCAGGGAGACTCATATGTGAGGAAGAACAGTAACTGAATTATGCACTGACCTTTGTACCACATTTGCAATTGTTCTTACTCATTTCTCAAATGTTTCTTCATGCAATCGAATATTACCCAACAATTAAAAGGAACCAATTCCTAATACATGCAATACTGATAAATCTCAAAAACATTGTACTAAATGATGTATTTTCAATGGGCAATAGTGCCCTGCCTCCTCAAAGGGGCAAAAAATTGTTCTTCAGGTGTGAAAAAAATTAATTTTATATCTAAGTGTGTGTATGTATGTACATATACACAGATATATAGCTATATCTGTGGTATCGAAATTTCATTAGGAGGAGAAGAGAATTAGGAAAAATTTCTTGAGGGTATAGTAATACAAAAAAAGCTAAGAATTAGCCGGGCATAGTGGCACATGCCTATAGTCCCAGCTACTCGGGAGGCTGAGGCAGAAGGATCACTCGAGCCCAGGAGTTTGAGGTTGCTGTGAGCTAGGCTGACGCCACGGCACTCACTCTAGCCTGGACAACAAAGTGAGACTCTGTCTCAAAAAAAAAAAAAAAAAAAAAAAAAGCTAAGAAACACTGTACTAAATAAAAGATGCTAGCCACAAAAACTAGATATTATTTCTTTTTATTATTTCTTTCTAGGTATGATTTCTTTTTTCTGGAAAAGGCAAAACTAATGTTACAGAAAGCAGATTAGTGTAGCCTGGGGTCCAGGTTTTAGGGGAAGGGATTGGCTTCAAAGAGGCATGTAGGGACATATGGGGTGATGAAAATGTTTTATATCATGTCAGTTACCATTGTAGTTATTTGTCAAAGCTCATTGAATTGTATACTTAAAATTGCTGAATTTTACCGCATATAATTTATACCTCAATAAAACTGTTTTTTTAAAAAATAATAATAACTTAAATCCAGGGAGTCTCTGCATTTGTGGGCATGGATTACAATTCAAAGAATTGCAACCCACTTAAGTGGGCATTTTCTTACGGCTCTGCAAGAGGTTGTCTCTTGTTATACTTGTGTTATCTCTCTACTTGCCTTTTATTTTTCTTGGTAGGAAAGTAATTTCATCAGGTAGACATGAAATTATGCTGTGTTCGCATCTGAGTCAAGAGTCGGTGTGCCACCATAAGTTCTTCTCATCCTTTCCTTCAGCTATTGGCCTGGTAGGGCTGACTCCTGAAGGAAGAAAGTAAAATCAATAACATATCACTTATCTCAAGTCCTCTTTCTTATCATAAACTGCCATCATCGCTCTCTTTAGGATATCGGAAATGCATGTTAAACGTCTTCTATATGTGAGGACTACACCACATGCTTGTTGTCCCTTGTTTCATTTAATTCAACCCTCACAACAGTCCTATGAGTTGTGTAATGCACTATTATATGGAATTTACAGATACACATGCATACACACACACACACACAACTTATTATAAATCATGGGGAAACATTGTGAGTCTCCTAGGCCCAAGTTTCTGAATTTTGACATAAAAAGGATGGGAGGCCATGAAGAAATTTTGTTCTTCTCACATGGTTCTCTGCCAATATATCATCTTGAAAGCTGCTTTTTCCTCTTTTGGGATTTCTTACTTTCTCATTCCCTTTACTTAATTTAGAGCGAAACCTGTAGGTTAGCTAACCTCCATATCCATTCTAACACTTTCTGGCTTGCCTTTCTCTACAGACATTTGCAGTGAGAGTGTTTGTAAGTCACTTAGTCTCTGTAGTCTCTGGCGCTATTGCAGAACTTGGAGTGAGCAATGCCAATATGCGGAGACATTAGATCATTTGGCAAGACAGGAGGGGAATTGTCTGGTTCCTCTGAGACAGCTATGCAGAATTCAGGATTTCAAATCTTAAGATCATATATTAAACACAATTTCAATCAGAAATTACATTAAATGTAAATAGAGTAAACAGCCCAATTAAAAGACAAAGGTTGTTAGAATGACTTAAAGAAACAGGATCCAGCTATATGGTGTTTACAAAAGACACGCAGTAAATCTAAGACTCACAATAAAAGTGATATATTTATTATGAAATGTTCTTGTTATTTCTAATAATGATACTTCTTGAAGATGTATATTTTCTGATACATCTAAACTTTTTTGTCCAGTGTTTGTACTTTATAACTTTTTCCATTCTTTTACTCACAGCCTTTATGATTCTTATATTTAAAATGTGCTTTTGTAAACAAAACTTACTTTCGCCTCTTCCCTTAAAATCTACAAATCCAGAGCATTTTAATTCCATTTACCCCCTACCTCCTTCCATTTTATGGTTTTCATGCATTTTAATTCTACATATATTTTAAATCCCACACAACAATATAAATATTATTGTATTGTACAGCTAACATTCAACCCATGGTCATTAATTTTTATCCACTTAGCTTACTTATCCATTTCTCTTTATTCTTCTTGCATATCTGTGTTTTCATCAGGGACAACTTTCCTTCGGCTCAAGAACTCCATTTAAACTATGTTTTAGTACAAGTCTCTTAGAGTTGAATTCTCTCAGTTTTTGTGTGTATGTGTCTGAAAATGCTATTATTTTTATCTTCATTTTTAGGCCGTAATTGCAAGGCATAAAAGCTGAGGTTGGCATTTTCTTTCGGTACTTTAAAGATGTTATTACATTATCTTCTGATTTTCATTATCGAGACTTCAGTTGCCAATATTGCTATTGCTTCTATTATAGTTGTGTGTCTTTTTTCCTTTAGTGTTTTGTTTTTTTGTTTTTTTTTTTTTTGAGACAGAGTCTCACTTTGTTGCCCAGGCTAGAGTGAGTGCCATGGCGTCAGCCTGGCTCACAGCAACCTCAATCTCCTGGGCTCAGCGATCCTTCTGCCTCAGCCTCCCGAGTAGCTGGGACTACAGGCATGCGCCACCATGCCCGGCTAATTTTTTGTATATATATATTTAGTTGGTCAATTAATTTCTTTCTATTTTTAGTAGAGACGGGGTCTCACTCAGGCTGGTTTCGAACTCCTGACCTTGAGCAATCCGCCCGCCTCGGCCTCCCAAAGTGCTAGGATTACAGGCGTGAGCCACCGTGCCCGGCCTTCCTTTAGTGTTTTAAGAAAGATTTTTGTGTGTGTTTATGCCTGGATGGGTGTTGTTTTCTATATTTTTACTGCTTGTGGATTCTCATTGTTTCTAAAATCTATAAGTTAATATCTTTAGTTACTTTGGGGAAATTATCAGTATTATCCCTACAAAGATTGTTTTGCCTCAGTCTCTTCTCTATTCTTACACTTCCGTATTTGTGTTGGACATTTTCACTGTTTCACATTTTGTCTAATTTTTCCTGAATTCTATATACATTTTTTCCATCTTTGCTTCCATTTTTTCCATCTTTGCTTCCATTTAGATGTATTCTTCATCAGTTATTCTATCTTTGGCTGTGTCTACTCTGCTGTTTAACCAACTAGAGTTCATAATATCAGATATAAAATATTTTTATTTCTAGAATGTGTAATTTTTTTATACATTCTACTTTGTAAAGTTCTCTCATCTATTTCATTTTCTTCATCTTTTCCTCTAATTTCTTAAATACTTTCATTGTAATTATTTTAAAAGCCTTGTCAGGAACATTTATAGATGCATTTCTATTATCTGTTGCTTTCTCTTGGTTTTCCATTTTGAGATCTTATCATTTGGCACGTCTAGTAATTTACTATTTCTAGACATTATTAGCAGTAATTTAAGTTCTGTTTAAAACAATGTAGAGTTTCTAGATGGTGTTTCTTTCTTCCAGAGTGGGGTCATCCTTTCCTTCACTATAGTTAGATTATTTTGAGCCAAAGCTTATTTGCAGTTCTAATGAAGCTTAGTGTACTTCTGGGTGTCCTTAGCCTTTTTATACTTGCAACCATGGCCAAAAGTATTATCTTTGATCCCTTTTTATGATGGATCTGGCCTTACCTCAAATCTTTGTCTTTAAAAACTGCTAACATCTCTGCTATGTTTTTCAGAAGGTTTCAGGCTTAGGATTTCAGTCCCCCACCCTAAAGAGCCCCATAACTCATCAAAATTTCATCATGTGTTGGTGAAGAACTTGAATTCTCAGCTTTGAAATAAATGGATAATGCGACTGTGGTGAAAGAAGTTGCTTAATTCAGCTCACCAATGTGAGCTCTTCTTTCCTCTGGGGTCATGGACTCTTTACTCACCGCCTCAGCTGTGCTCCACTGTCTTCAAGCAAATAACCTCCGCATTTTATTTTATTTGGCTTTTCAGATTGTTCTTGGTGGGAACTCTGATCAGCTGATAGCCATTCCATCCCATGAAGATGCAGAAGGTAATGCAATTTTTAATGTTTTCGTATCGCAATAAATTCTCCTGGTCTTGAAATTAATTGAGTTTAACAATAAAAGAAAGGAAACTTCTTCCCCACCATGCAAAGATTATTTCTTTATTATAAAAATAAATGTATTATGAAATTATTATTAAATAAATAAGTTTTATAGTAATGTGCTTTGTAAAATTTAAAGTGCATTCTCTGGTCCCTGCTTACAGCAGCCATACGACCACACTCCATAACATCCTCACCTTCGCTCTCTGAGCTTGGGTCACATTGGATTCTTCAGGTTCTTCAATGCCCCAAGCTCCTTTTCACCTTGGCACTAACACCTCTTCTCTGCCCTCTGCATCCATCTACTAATTCCTTAGATCTCAAGTCTGGTGTCAGTTCCTTAGGTCAGTTTTCTCTGACCCCCATACTGGATAAGGTCTGCCTGACCTTCTCTCTCAGAATTCTCTCTACAAGTATGGCTAAATAATCATCTGAGTAAATGCTGGCAGTAGCCAACACTTAGAAGAAGATGGTCCCTAAGTATTAGGAGAGAAATAACTAAATGTTCATAACATGTAGCTAAGAGCACAGAGTATTTCAATTCTTGCTTCTGCTACTGTTTGTAGCATTACTGTGGGAAAATTACTTAACCTATCTCAGGCTTATTTCTCTCACCTAAAATATGGATAATCCTTACCTACCTCATATAGTCATTATGAGACAAAATAGATCATTTATGCAAAGGTTTTAAACAATATACAACATAACAATTAATAATTTCTATTGATTACTTTATGAGATAAATAATAAACCCAAACTATAAAGTGGAAAAATCTTAATATTGCAAACTTCTGCTCTTCCAAGAGGAATAGAAAATCGGTTTGACAATAGCTGAAACAGTAACAATCATATAATACTAGCAATACCTCTCTGTGATTTTCCCCAACAATGTCCGTGGTCCATGTGCTGAAGTACTATCTGTTATGGTGACATCACAGTTATTCCTAAGAACTGGAGCTTCTTTCTGTTCCAAAACCTAGGACCCAAGCTGTTTACAGTAACATTCCTTACGAGGCTGGGTGAGAATAGAGCACCTATAGCTACAGCTGCAAACCACTCAGCTAGCCAAGCACATGGAGCCAACCCCCCATTGTCCCAGCCCAGGCCCATCCACATACTTTATATTACTCCTTCCTGACTTGCCACCAGGCATCTGGTTTTGATTTTCTGCCTGACCTGACACACTTTGGCTCACTCCCACCAGTGCCCTCATGACTCAGATTCAGCTCTCTTGACCCATCTGCCAATATTTTCCATTGGCCTTACTTTGAAACCTGATTTTCCCTTCTAGATAAAACTCTCCTTAAGTCTTGGGTCCCCCATTCCCTCTTTCTTCTTTCCTGTGGTTGCAGCTCCACCTCAAATTTTGGAACAACCAGCTCCAACTCATGAGGCTTTGTCTTCATCTTGGGAGATTCTGCATGAACCATTTGCTGTTCCAACCCTCTCTGGATGATCCATCTTGCTCTTGTGAGTAGTTTCGCTCTGCTCCTTTGTCCAAATTCTATTTCTGGGACCCCTTGGCTGTGCTGTTTACCTGGACATCAACTTCATAACCTATATGTTGCCCCTATATTGCAATCTTGAGGGTCAAGCTTCCTGATCCCACCTGCCTACGGACACCTGTCCTGAGACTGGGTTCTGAGAGGTTTTCCAGATGATTCCTTGTGTGTCTGCCTGTACCCAGCATGTTTCCAGCTTCAAGATTGCTTTTTTACTTTCTCTATCCACATTTAATCAGTGTATCATGCAAGAATACCAGATGGTCTGCCTCAAATTGCAGCTTCTCCATTCTGCCCCATAGATCCCAGCTGAAATAATCCTTCTGCTAAACTGTGCCATGCACTCTCTCAATCTGCCTGCTGGGGGCGCACTCTCACTTCCCATCACTCCCAAGGAGAAGAGCTCTGACTCAGGCCTAAGTAACAATGAAGAAAGAGAGGAAAGGTTAAAAACTTTCTTTCTTTCTAGAGTGAGGAGGTTAAAAACTTCTTTCTTCCTAGAATGTTCATCTTTTCTTTTCAAACTCTTCCTCTTTGGCTCTTTGTACAAGGCACTTGCTTTTTTACTGCTCTCTTGGAGACTACTTCATCTCATATAATGAGCATTCTACCCCGAAGATGGTTCACCAGCATTAGAAAGCCAAGAAAGAACTATTATAGAATGGGCCAAACAAAGAAGACAATGAAGCATTTAAAAAAGTTTTTGAGATTCAAAGGTAGAAAGAAAGGCCAAATGAGGATGGGGGCCAAATTTCTTTATATAAAAAAATATATGTGTGCAAGGAGTATCTCTCTGCATATGGGATATAACTCTAGGGATTGATAGTAATTTTTAATTAGTTGACCTTAAAATGTTCCCTCTCCTCTCCTTTCTTTCTCAGAGAGACAACCTATTCTTTGTGTGCATGACTTGCTTACAGTGACTGCAGAGCTAGATAGTCAGCTCCCCACCTGGGTAGGTACAAGGGCATTGCTACATGTCCATAACAACCTCTTCTCTGAACCCTGAGAAGGGATGGGCACATGGGACCAACAACAATATTTTATCAATATTACCTCAAAAAATTCTATCCTTTAAAGTTGACACATTAATATCTGCAGATAAATCTCATTTGAGTTTTTGATTCTACTAGCGTCTTTATCTTGCAGGTCACACTTTTTTGTACGGTGATTAATCTCAATGGAAATTAATAACAACACTGATTCAACCAAAGTAAATATATTTGTTTGAACCTAGACTGTTAAATATTTCCTAAAGCTATTAATCTATGTGTCTGTTAGAGTTGGATGCTCACAAATAATGGAGAAAATTTCAAGCTTTTGCACAGAATAGAAAGTTCAAAGCCTTAAAAACCTTGCAAGGAAAAGTTTTTATTGCAAAAAAAACCTTGAGTATACACAAAAATAATAAATACTGCTCAGAAATGCTTCCAATGCCTCACTTCAGAATAATAGCTTGCTCATTAGAACAGTCCCTGAGAGTGCAGGAAAGCCAGGGTACCATCTGAGAGACGTGGTCAAGTGTGGAGCATTGAGCTGGCCAGGTTTGTGACAAACAGGCCTAGGAGACAAACACCTGGCCAGGACCAGGTCACCTGAAACAATGGAGCCAGCACCTGCAGTCACAAGGACAAGCACAGCTGATGGCTTTGAAGTGTGTTACATGCAAAACTTGCCAAATACTGTTAAATAAATGCATGCAGATAAGAAATATACAGTCTCTTATTAAATGAGAAGTTCTTTCTTTCTTTCCTGAGGTGGAATTTAGATGATATGTGTTTGGATTTTTTTAATATTCGGGATCAGGTTTTGAAATTAGCCCTGAGCTTTGGGACACAGACACTTTGAAGAGAAAACAAAACCTGAAGCCTAGAAGGTCCCCAGGATAGAATGTTTGAGACACACTGGTTATTACCTAACACCCAATCTTTGCAGAAAAAAATGACACTTCCAGTATTTGGTACCTGTTGGATGGCTAATATATGTGTAATGATTCAGTGAAGTCATGAAAGGAACAGAAAGATATCAGGAAGATGGGGCTGGGAGAGAAAGAGGAGGAAGAGGTAGAGAAAGCAAAGGAAAGGAATAAGAAGAAGGAGGAGGAGAAGGAGGAGGAGAAGGGAGAAGAGGAAGGTAGGCTCTGAGGTCCCAGCCAGCCATGCTGTTGTCACACTCTGGCGTTGAGCTGGCTGTAGTATTTTCCTGGGTTCAGGTCTTTTCACCTGGAAGTGATGCAAATGCCTTAGTTATTTACCCAGTTGATTGTCTCATAAGATAGGAACTGTTTGCCAGGGAGTGCAGCTGATCCCCTGCAAGGCCCAAACAAAGGTGAGAGAGGTAGTTTCTGCTTCCATGGAGACAATCCTCCTAATACAAGGAGCCAGGGAGTTATGTTTTTTTAAAAACAACATTCATTTGTTGGTGTTACTTAAATATCTCACACATATATCTTCATTGTGTTTCCTCTTCCCAAAACACTCCACTTTTTTCAAATGCTCCTGCATATCTTCGAGATACAAACTCAGATTCCATTCCCCCCCCCCACCGAGGCCCTTGAGGTTTTTCTCAACTGCTTTCTCATACACCTCTCATTCCTTCCATCATGGTTTCACTAATTCCTCTGTTTTAATTCTTTATTTTAGTCATTTGTGCACTTGTTTTTAACTTTCCATTTCTTTCAACACTAGCAGGATTTTTTAAAACAGTGGGCATAAATTGTTAACTGAATGGGTGAAATAATGGTGAAAAATTGCCTTGACTTTATTAAGCATTTTGGGATACAAAATGGGCCACATTGGTATCTAGACCAATAACTAATGTTAAGATCTTAGAAATAAACTTGGACATGTAGCCAACTCTTCCAAGGGACATGGTCTGGCTGTCTGTGGACCACCTTGTCCTAGACAGGGACCCTTTCTTTATCCCTGTCAGTGACCCAGAAGGTCATCATGATGCCTTGCCTCAAACTCTTGATTTTCTCTCATTCCTCCACTTAATACTTTGGTTCCTTTTAGTGAAAAGGACAAATTTGGAGTACCCACCATGTCATACAAGCCCTTGGCAATCTGGCCTCAGCTTATATTTCAAGGCACACCTCTTCTACAGACTCTCTGTCTTCACCCTCCTTCTATGCCCCAGACGTACTTGCCATTCCTGGAATGTTCTATTTCATACCTCCAGGTTGTCTCTTATTTCTGTGGGCTTCAAATATACAGCTAGACACATATAGTAAAGGCCAAATTACATCACTTCTGATTTCATTTCTCTTTCAAAAATTTCCCTGGCCAACCATTGTATATGGGAGATGTAGACACGTCTTTGCCTGACATACTGGGTCAGGTCCCAGTGCTCTTTGGAGCTCTAAACCAGCTTCTCCCCACCTCACTGGACCACCAAGATTCTGCTGTCCTGCCTGCATGATCGCGTCATGGTTTCTGCTCTGACCTTAGCTCACACTTAGACTAAGGAGAGCTCCTTAGATCTGCCTGAGGGTTGGCTGGTGGCTATTTCCTTGTGCCTTGCCAGTTCCTTGCCCAATGCCTTGCCCACAACCTTGCTTGGGCTTTGGTGGTCATTGCCCATGGCCTGAGGACTGCTCCAATGTTAGAAGTGAGACATGGAAGTAGCTTTTGTGGCTGTTTTATAAAGAATCCATGACAGAGCCAACATTGGAGACCAGCCTACAAAATAAGAGTTCTATAAAATTTTTAGAATCCTACAAAATAGCATTAAGCAATCCAAATCCTCATGAGTGAGTAGCTCTATGTCACCAGGCTTCCCCAACCCTTTTTCTAAACAGAAGAACAGCTATAATCTACTCTGGGATTTCTCATTTCATTTGTTAAACAAATGTTATCATTTTAGGTGTCTATCGTATAGTAGGTAGTAAAGATTCTAAAATGAATAAAGCATATCCCTGCATTTAAATCTCTTTCTATTTGGTAGAAGAGAAAGAGACACAAATTATTTACAGGAACACCTACAGGTACATAAAAATGCTACAAGAATTCAGAAAGAGGAATAGTTAGTATAAGATGTAGTGGAAAGTGAGCACATCAAAGTGGAGTAACAAATGCTTGGCTACAGATATGTAGCAGGTACTGGTTCTTGAGGGATGCACTGAAGTTCTGGATGTAGAGAGAAGATAAAGCCCTCCAAGGAAAGACAAGAGTCTGACCAAAGGCTTGGCTGTGCCTGGAACATTAGATAAATAAAGAGAGCACAGGTGAATGCCTATAGATGAGAATGACCAAATAGCCACTATAAGGATATCCTATTTTAGCCTGAAAACTATGAGATATACAGAGTATTTTAGGATCTCAAATGGCATTTTAATATTTCAATTTCAAAAGCTTATTTGGCATTGCTTCTGAGTCTTTTGGCTAAGATCAAGTGTAAAATCTCATTTGGCAACAGAATGGAGAGTTGGAGGAGGTTTGGTCAGGTTTAAATTATAAGCGTTGGTGCAAGTTGGCACCACCTAGGAAAATTTGCCTCCAAAACTAAACAAAAATTGAAGATTCTGAGGTTGGCAGGGGAAGGTAAGTGCTCCAGGCATATTCCTCAGTAAGTGATGTTAAATTCAGCAATAAAAAGACAAGGAAAAGTCACATTTTAGGAAAGCAAATAACACATTAGATGGACACCAAGTTTCCCAGACAAAAGAACTAACAGACTAGTTTGCTAAAAGGGCGAAGAGGAAAAAATTAACTTTAAATGCGCTTGGAAAGAAGAGAAAGATGTAAAATAAAATTCAGAGTTGTTATTGAAATTAAAAAAACGTACCAAAGTACATAATTAGTGAGCTCGTAAGAAGGTTCAGAGGATTTTCACAGATGGAACCACAAAAGACCAAACGATGGGAGATTTAAAAGAAAATGTAAGAAACCCTCAGGGCAAAACTAGAAGTTCCAGCATCATCTGGAGATAGCAGGATAAAATGCAATGCTTAGATAAATAATTAAAGAACATCTCCTACACATAAAAAAAGATGAAATCTTTATGTTGAAAGGTCCCACCTGGTGCTGAACTGAACTAATAGAAAAGATGCATATTTAGACACATGAAGATGGAATTTCAAATCACAAAGAACAAACTCACATATCCACTTTGATGTCTAATAAACATCTCAAACTTAGTATATCCAAAGCTTAACTCCTGCACCTTCCTCCTCCTCACTGCAGGCATGTACATAAACTTGTTCCTTGCCATGTCCTCCAACTTTCAGGAAATAGTAACTCTAATTTCCAGTTGCTTGAGTGAAAAATCTTAGTCATCCCGGTTTCTGTTTCTCCCCTAATTTTTTTTTTTCCTTGTGACAGACTCACTCTGTTGCCCAGGCTAGAGTGCTATGGCATCAGCCTAGCTCACTGCAACCTCACACTCCTGGGTTCAAGTGATCCTCCTGCCTCAGCCTCCCAAGTAGCTGGGACTACAGGCACTCACCACCATGCCCAGATAATTTTTTTGTTTCTATTTTTAATTGCCCAGCTAATCTTTTCTCTTCTCTTCTCTTCTCTTCTCTTCTCTTCTCTTCTCTTCTCTTCTCTTCTCTTCTCTTCTCTTCTCTGCTCTGCTCTGCTCTTCTCTTCTCTTCTCTTCTCTTCTCTTCTCTTCTCTTCTCTTCTCTTCTCTTTCTTTCTTTTCTTTTTGTAGAGAGGAGGTCTTGCTCTAGCCCAAGCTGGTCTCAAACTCTTAACCTCAAGCCTCCCACCTTAGCCTCCCAGAGTGCTAGGATTACAGGCATGAGCCACTGCGCCCAGCCATTTTCTCCCCAAATTTACCTCCATTCCTTTAGTACTCCCACCCCCTCCCTTTCATAATAATCTACAAAGATTATGTAACCTTAACATTTGTACCCCCATAATATGCTGAAATAAAAAAATAATAATAATAATAAAGACAGCAATCTAACACAATTCTCAGGGCCAGAGTTATAGGGGGGAAAACTTTTTTGGTTTCTCTTCTGAAGGTTACATACAGAAACTCCCTATGTGACAAATCACTTCCCCTGAAAGTAAAAAAAAAAAAAAAAGAAAGAAAATCTACAAAGAATCCCTGGACCAGATTTTCTCTCTAAAGGATAACTGGTACAACTGGCAAAATATGACAAGAGTCTGCAGATTAATAGAATTATATCAATGTTATTTTCCTGACCTTGATCATTGTCTGTGGTTTTTTTTAAAGAATATCTTGATCTTAGGAAATATACACTGCATACTATGGGGATAAGGGCATCATGTCTTTAATTTATTCTTAAATTGATCAAAAAAATTATAATGTGTATACAAAAAAAAGGGAAAAGCCAATGTGGTGAAGATTATAATTGTGGAATCTCGGCGAAGAGTATATTGGAGTACTTTATGCCATTCGTACAATGTTTCTGAAAATGGTCTGTGTAGAATTATTTCTAAATTCAAAAGTTACAAAAGATTGAACAAAATAAATCTAACGTTGGTGTACCCTTCACCAGTCACGTTGCTACAACTATGATTTAAGCCACATCATCTCTCCATGGGATTATTACACAAACTCATGAATTCTCCCTTCTTTTACTCCTGTCTCCCCTCTAGTCTGTTCCCAACTCAGCAACCGGAGTAATCTTTCAAAATTTAAGTCTGAAGATGTCATTCTACTTATCCCCATCCTTCAGTGGCTTTTCATCTTACTCAGAGTCAAATCAAGATTTGGGAATGGTCTAGAAGGACTTAGGGGATGTGAGCCCTCCTCCCTACTTGTTGTCTCTAGGACCTCACCTCCTACAGTGTCCCCCTCATTGGTACAGCCAACTGAATGTGATGACACCTTGTTTTTCCTCAAACATCCCTGGCATGCCCCTACCTCAGGGCCTTTGCACATGAAGTTCTTTCTTGAGTAGTGCTCTTCCCCCAGGTATCTGCACAGCTTGCTCCCTCACTCCATGTCTCTGGACATAGGTCACTCCAGTGATTCCTTTCCGGGTCTTACTGTTTGACATGTTGACACACAGCACACCTCAGCCCTCTTCCCTACTTCATTGTTCTGCACAGCCTGTGTCCATGACAGACCACTTACTCACTTGACTTGTGTGTTTGTTTGCCTTCCTGTTGCTCCCTCTACTAGAAGTCAAGAAACTTGAGTCCAAGGAATTCAGTTCTGTTCACCTTTTTGCCTCTGGCATCTGGAATAGTGTTTTGCATATAATAGCTTTTTAATAAATAATTGTCGAATGAATGAAACTAGACATCCTAAAGTTCCCATAGAGGGAAAAAAAAACACCGGATAATCTTTAAAAGAATTGGAAACAAATTGGTATTGGACTTGTGACATATTAAATGCTGAAAAAAAATTTGAATGGTTTTGAAAGATTATTTTGAATTTATAATCGTGCTTTCAACCAAACTAGCAATCAAGAGAGAGAAGAGGAAAGGCATTTCCTGATACATGAACACTCAAAAAGTTTATCTCTCTCAAACCATCCCTGAATTGTTACTGTCTATTCCAGTAAAATGAAAAAGGAACCCAAAAAGGGGAAATACAAGATACTAAAAATATACTAGCAAGCCAAAATGTAAGTGAAACACAATGAAATTTAAAATGTTAATAGTGACCACATGAAACTAAAACACTCATTGGCTTCAACATGGTGGGAGTGGGGAAAATAAAAGGAAATTTGCATGGTAAGATTGGGGAGGAGGTTAAAGGTATGATTTAACTGCAGAGAAATGAAATAAAATATGAATTTAAACTCTGGGTGAAAATTTAAGGACAACTGCTTGATGAATAAAAATGGGATACATGGCTTAGATATTATGAGAAGGAAAAATGAAACGTAGCAAACACAATGAATGCAATCAAAAGCAGGAAGGAACAAAAGGAACAGAAAACAAGTAAACATGGTGAATAGACAAATTTAAAAAGAAAACAATAAAAAGTCCAGACATATCTGAAATCATACTCAATATATATGATTTAAAATTGCTTTCATTTATAGATTTGCATATCTTGAACCATCCCTGCATCTCTGGAATAAAGCCCATTTGGTCGTGATGGATTATTTTTGGGATAAGCATCTGAATTCGGTTTGCTGGGATTTTTTTTTCAGAATTTTTGCATCTATATTTATAAGTGATATTGGTCTGCAGTTTTCTTTTTTTGTTGCGTTCCTTCCTGGTTTTGATATAAGGGTGACGTTGGCTATATAAAACATGTTGGGGAGGCTTCCTTCCTTCTCCATGTTGTGGAATAATTTCTGCAAGATAGGCACCAGTTCTCCTTTATAGGTCTGGTAAAATTCAGGTATGAAACCATCTGGTCTGGGAGTTTTCTTTTTAGGAAGGTTTTTTTATTGCTGCTTCAATTTCAGTACTTGATATTGGTCTGTTCAGAAATTCTATTTCTTCTTGATTGAGCCTAGGGAGGCTGTGTGTTTCTAAGAATATGTCCATTTCCTCCACATTTTCAAGTTTATGTGCATAGAGGTTTTATAGTATTCATAGATGATATTTTGTATTTCCATGGTATCAGTTTTAATTTCTCCATTTTTATTCCTGATGGAATTTATTATAGTCTTTTCTTTTGTGCTTCTCATTAATCTAGCAAGAGGCATGTCAATTTTGTTTATTTTTTAAACAAACCAACATTTTGTTCTAATAATCTTCCATATAGTTTGTTATTGATTTCATTTAGTTCTTCTCTGAAATTTGTTATTTCTTTTCTTCTGCTGGGTTTGAGATTGGTTTGATCATCCTTTTCTAGTTCTTTGAGATGATTCATTAGATGGCTGATTTGTGATCTTTCTGTCTTTTGGATGTAGGCATTTATGGATATAAATTTTCCTCTCAGGACTGCTTTAGTGGTGTCCCATATTTTGATAAATTCTGTCTCCTTTATCATTTAGTTCAAATAATGTTTTAATGTCTATCTTAATTTCCTCCTTACTCAATAATCGTTCAGCAGAAGGTTGTTTAGTTTCCACGTCTTTGTGTAGAGATGAGTGTTTCTGTTGGAGTTGATTTCTAATTTTATTCCACTGTGGTCTGAGAAGATGCATGCTATAATTTCTATTTTTTCAAATTTGTTTAGACATGTTTTGTGTCCTAGGATATGGTCAATCTTAGAGCATGGACATGAGCTGTTAAGAAAAATGTATATTCTGTGGTTTGGGTGTAGAATGTTCTGTAAATGTCAGTCAGGCCCATTTGTTCTAGAATTCTATTTAAGTACTTTGTTTCTTTGTTTATTTTCTGTTTGGAGGATCTGTCCTGTTCTGCCAGAGGGGTGTTGAAGTCTCCAGCTATTATGGTGCTGCTGTTTATCATTTTGTTTAGATCAAGTAGGATTTGCTTTATGAATCTGGGTGCACCTGAATTGGTGCATAAATATTCAGAATTGTTATGTCTTCTTATTGAATTGTACCCTTCACCATCATATAGTGACCATCTTTGTCTTTCATTATTTTTGTTGATTTGATAACTAAGATATCTGAAATCAGAACTGCTATGCCAGCTTTCTTTTGGCTTCCATTTGCATGGAATATTGTTTTCCATCCCTTCACCTTGAGCCTGAATTCAGGCTCAAGGTGAAGGGATGGAAAACAACCTTGTGGGTTAGATGCGTTTCTTGAAGACAGCAGATACTTGGCTTGTGTATATTTATCCATTTGGCTGGCCTACAAATAGTGAACCATATCTTGATAAAGCCATTATTTAAAAGAAAGAGAGAGAGAGAGAGAATGTCTGAACTGAGAGTTGGGGTTGAGGAAGGAGAGGAGAAATATTGGCAGAGAATTAAGACAGAGAATCAATCCCTGGTGCTAGTGACATCTTCACGTCAAGGGTAGAGCAAGGAGTGTACGGCTCACTCATGCTTCCATGGTTAGAGGACTAGGTGGACACAGTGCCAGGAACCCAGAGCTCTGGGTGACCAAGTCCTGCTCAGGATCAAAAGCCTGGCCCCTCTGATGCTGTTGCTCACTCCTCTTTGCTCCCCATCCACCACCCCTGGTTTCACTGCCTCCTGCCACACCCTGAACTGACAAGACCACAGATTCATTTTCCTGACCACTCAGTACGAGGGAATCAGCCCTCCTATCCTAACCGTTTTCTTCTTAGACTTATCACTGTCTTCTTACTTGTAATACTCCACACCCACCCCTGCAATACTCCACACCCACCCCTGCCCCCAAGAAGGAAACACCCACAAGAGCCGCCACTGTGTCTCCAGGACAGGAGGGACCCTTGTGCCAGGAATCAGAAGACAAAAGCACAAAATCTCAGTGTTGGAGTGAAACCTAGAGATCACAGCATCCGAAGCACCGTTAAACTGAGGGAGTCACTGCAGCCCACACAGGGACTTCCCAAAGCTA